TCCTTTCCACAACGGACAACACGGTCAGCAGAAAAGAAATGCCAGTTAAGAACTTCTGAGCTCGAAATATTTAAAATCCAAACAATAAGCAATCTTTTCTGAGGCTGCATTCCTAGCGAATCTGGAGAAGAATTATCACCTTCTGGCTTCATTTTCATTGGAAAAGGTGGGAAGACATTGCGCTTTTCGTTGGCAGAAACGCTGTGAATTCCCTAATATCACGGTTTTCTAACAAGTCTTTGTAAACTTTAATCAACACGCATTAACAAAAGACTGTATTAATTCCTGAGATATTTTCTCCTGCTCCAGCCGTAACACTCCTCACCCTTCCTATGCGAGAGGAGCAGCAGCGATTGAAGCCAGCAATCCTGTAATATTTTAATTAGCTCCTTTTGACGCAAATTCCTTTTAGCACACGTTTCTCCTGTTAATTATAGGCACCCACCCTATTGGCAAGGTAAATGGTCGGCTTCAATTTTTTTTTCAAGCAAAACAGGGTAGAAAACGACAACTATTTAGATACTATAGAACTTGACCTTTTGGAGACGAGCGGTTGTAAGTTAAACAGTTCCCTTTGCACGCCATCTGTATATATAAAAGCTAGGCGATCGAGGAGTCCTAGTTCTGTTTATATTCCTCAAAAGAAGAGATGTAGGCTTTTTTCTTTCCTCGCTTTGTTTGGCTAAGCTATGGGTAAGTGTGTTCACAGACTCCCCACCTCTTGGCCACGCTTGTCCTGTGCAAAAACGTCCTGCAGCAAGAGCTCCCAAATTCAGAGCGGCTTTACCCTCTCTAATCCTGCCGAAATACATGGGAAGGCGTAACGAATGCATTTTGCTTCTCCAAACGAAATGCCTGCCTTTATGTTGTTTTCAGTGAGGTTAGCGAGGGGAAGGCTCGATTTTCCCCCTTCCTCAACGCGGAAGTCCCAATTACTGTATTAAAAGAGCAATTCGACATTAGACCAAATAATCAACATTGATAATTGTGCTGAACACAGCAACTTAACAGCAGGCTCCCTGCAATTACCCACACATTCCGGGGCTTTAAGCGTACATTATCTCTGTTTCGCTTAACAGCAAATAAAGCAGAGAACAGCCTGTGCCTTGGGTGTCTACTCTCTCCCAGACGAGCTGCGCCCCTCGCAGCCTTCCCCATCAGCCTCCCCTCTTGTTTTGCAGGCGGAACCGGGAAGCATTTGGGGGTTTCTTTGCGTTGAAACAAGCTGCTTGTGGGGGGCAGCAACTCGAGCGATTCGAAAGTAGGCATCGGGGCTGCACGTGTGCATGCTGTGCAAGCACACATACGCCCAGACACACGCACACCTCCGCACAGGCACACACACGCCTATTTCCAGTTGCCTTCTCGCCCTTCTTGCCTTAATTTCCCTTTGTTTCCCAGAGGCAGCCCCGACCTGTGTAGGCACGGTGGAGCCTCCTCGCCCGGCGCCACAGCCCCGGCTGCAGAGGGGAGCGGGAAAGGGCTCAGTACAAACCTGTGCCAGCTCTGCTCCCCATTTCTAGCCCCCAGGTTTGAAATTTATTGAAATGCAAGAGGGGGGCTGCAGTTGAGTCCGTGGAGTTGGCGTCCCGAGACTAGGCGTTGGGCAGTTCTGTCATGTCTGCTCTGACACAAGCTGAAGTTGACTGCCAAAGTGCTATAAAACCGCAGGTCAGTCTAGAACTGTTTTCGGTTCTCCTAGACGCGCCGTGTTCAATTATAGCCTTAAAAGCCCTAATACAAGTGCAAGAATTTGTTTGCCATCACAGAGAGGCGGGGCGAGGCTCTGCAATGGTGGCGCCTTTGTTATCTCAAAGTCACTGAAATCCTTATACATTCCTTTTTGTGTGAAGGGAGGGCTGTCTGCGTGTGTGCAGAGTGCGGGGAGAGGTTTTTCATAGACGGAATTGAAGGGTAGGGGGACATGAGGAAAATAAACCGTGCTCGGTTACCAAAAGAGGGCTTCCAACCCCACAGTCCCACCTCAACCCCCCCGCAAAAGCTAGAGGGGGAAGTAAATGCGATCAAATGTATAGCTTTATGGAAAAAAGCAAACCAGAGGTCTTGCATTCCCCACACCAATTTAAAGGGGAAGAGAGAAGAAAGAAAGAAAGAAAGAAAAAAAAAAAAAAAAAAAAAGAGAGAGAGAGAGAGGGAGAGAGAGGGAAAACCCCCAAACCCTTTTACAATCCCTAAACGGCACTGCAGTCTTTTGCTAGCGGTTTTGACGACATGCAATCTCTTTCCATCCACTTTCTAGCAAATATGTCAAGCTGGAAGATTAATTCATTAATTTCAAGTTCAGCTAGCAGACGTGCAGTAAGCGTAAGAAGTTCTTGCAGCAAACCAAAATAAAGAGTTCATTACAGGGATACGTCCAGAGCATTTGATTTGTGAACGGTAACCCTTGTAAAATAAGAAAAAGGCATATAAACATTAATGCTAATAAATTAGTTTACTCCACTACAAAGTAATTACTTGATAATATTGAATTTACAGCTTGAATTCAAACGCTATAGCTGACTATAATGTAGAGAAAATACATAATGAGAATATTTTCTCTGTGCACAACATGATTAGATTTGTTATTGAGTCAGTTACGATAAGCTAAGCAATAAATAAATAAATCGATGTTGACATTTAAATACCGAAGATCTCTAGAATTTACTAGAGAACTTTCTCCGGATATATAAATACTTCCACAGCACTGCAGAGGAAGAGGGGGGAAAATCCAAATATTCTCTCTCTAACGTTTTCGTTCCCTTCCATTAGCCTCCCAAGTCCACGGGGGCATGGATCTTGAACTATGTCTAATTTCCTAAGAGTACCGACTTCACAATAGCCTTTTGCCATTCTGTTTTTCTATTTTGATGAAATCCAGCCGGAACCTAAATATTTCTTTTCTGAAATCGAGCATCAGAATAGCAAAAATATATTTTTTTCCGAGAGCCGAGGGATGTCCGTGTCTCGAAAGGTGCTGTATTCTTTGGCGTATTACTCTGTTTTCTTTGGCGCTGCTCATTCGGTGGGGTGTGCATTTTTATTGGCAGAGAAGTACTTTTTAGTCTCTGCCGTGCACAATCCGCTTTCTATATCATCCCTTTCATGCAACAATAGTAAAAGTTTAACCACGTTTTTAAAATAGGTCTCCCTGGGTCTCAGCCTTCAGCGACTGTACGAAGCAAAAAGGAAAGTATCTCGGTACGGCGAGTTTGTTCCTAGGGGTTAATAGTATGTCAAATAATTTTAACTAGGTTTCTGGCAATTAAACTTGGAGTATTTGTCAAGCCGGGGTAGCCCAACATCCACTGGTTTTCCAAGTATTTAGCAGCGGCGCTGAGGCGGGGAGATCAGCAAACACTTTAGCTCCGTGGTCGGCAGTTTAAAGGGTTTTTCTGGCGTTGCGAATGAAGCAAGGGACGGTTTGGAGGGGGTGAGGAGAGAAAACCTGCGTCCTGGGAACACGACATTGTTAACTACCTCCAGCAAAGCTTGGCTGAAGCCGAGCGGGGTATTTGAGGTTAATATGTAAGTAAGGGAAGGAAGACACTAAGCGCTTCGGAAGTGAACATGAATGCAAGCATGTAATCTATTCACCATGAAAATCAGTACAGACTTGACCCTGGCACATTCTTCCTAGTAACGTTTCTAGAAAAACCCTGCAGGGCGAGGGCTTTTTTTTCTTCCTTTTTTTTTTTTTTTTTTCCTTTCTTTTTTTAGTCTTTTTTTCTGAGCGGTGTGGGGGATGACCGAACCGAACCCCGAATCAAAATAAAGTAATAATAATAATTTTTTAAAAACACACAAAAAAACCATAAAAAATAAAGGAAAAGACCCCAGCCGATTTCTTCAGCAGCGTTTCCTGCTCGGAAGCCCCTTTCCAGAGGAAACCGTGCCTGCATCTCTCCTGTGCCCTCCTTCTCGGAGCCTGCCCAGCGAGCCGCCG